CGAAGTGGTTTCATGTAGCCTGCGAAGCCATCCTGGAAACAGTGAGGGAACGGCTCCCACTGCCTTGGCCCTGGCCCAGGCCGGCTAGGAGCCAATGTACAATGTTGTGGTGGCCATCTATGCTGAAACGCATTCAGTCTTAACTCCACAAGGCTGTCTAGAAACAGCAAGGAACCGGCCCCTGCCATGTTGGCCCCACCCCCTGGGTGCATGCTGGGGAGGTGTCACCCTTTGTAAGGAATGAAGAAATGGGCCATGCCTTGGCACTCACCCCGGTCCCACCCCCTTTTGCCAGAGACCCTCAGATCTGTCCTACTCCTGCCCAGGCCCTCACAGGCACCCTTGACGGGAACGATGTAGAGCTGGCCTTGCCCACCCAGTAGGCCACACCCACTCCATCTATGCTCACCCAGTAGGCCACACCCACCCTGGCCACGCACACCCCGAGGGCAACCGCAATGCTGATGCGGCCCTCAATGAAATTGAGTTTGACACCCCTGCTGCAGGGTGATGTAGAACAGGGCTTTTCAACCAGTGGTACAGGTACCACCTGTGGTACATTGGCACCTGGCAGGTGGTACGTGACCATCCTAGAAAAGTGGTAGAAGGGGAGGGGAATGAGCTGAACCGGTGGCAGCACCGCACAAGCCTGAGCGAGAGATGGCTGGAGCTGCAGGGCTGTCAGGGCTCAGCGGAAGCACCAGGGTCAGTGCTTCTTCAGGACTGTCAGGGCTCAGTGGAAGTGCCAGGATCAGCGCCAGGCTCCAGCTGGAGCTCGGCACTGATCCTGGCACTTCTGCTTAACCCAGAAGCGCCGATCAGCTGGAATGTTGCAGCATCTCCAGAGTCTTGTGATTTACATTCAGATGCTTGGCAACTGATTCATATTTATGATGGTCACAGTGTCCCAGGGTCATGTGAAGTGACCAAAACGTGCTGCAACCACCCAGCAGATGGGAGGAATAAAAACCAAACACCCCCACCCCATCCCCGCTGCCAATCCTCAATAGAAATGCTCAAAACAATGAAAACCTCGGACAGGAGAAAGAGCGCCGCCGGGCGGGCAGGCAGGTGTCTTGCTCGGCTGTGGCTTGGAGGGCACTTTTTTCAGTGCCATTGTAACTTTGAACAGTCACTAAGCGAACTGTTGTAAGTCGAGGACTACCTGTACTTTATCACTTTTTTTCCTTTTTTTGGTCATCAAGTTTTTGACATTTTGCTAGGCAACTGGTGGTACTCAGATGTTGCTATATCCTAAAAGTGGTACAATGGGTGAAAATGGGTGTTGGGAGGGACGCGTCGCTCCCACGTAACACCGCTGCTGCGCGAGCTGCACTGGTTACCAGTGGCCTTCCGGGTAC